CTTAATATCTGATGAACATGTGGTAAGTTTTGAGCCTACACTAAAGCAAACTGTTTTTCCTCTTTTGAAAACTTGATAAAGTGTTAATCATATTTCTTTCTTTTTTTAGGGAATTAAACATGCTCGAGATGCTGTATTTCCTGATTCAGAGCATAGGTATTGTGCTCGTCATATTTATTGCAATTTGGCTAAGAGAAGTAATGTTCATAGGACTGATGAGTTCAAAATTGCATTTTGGAACTGTGCAAAATCGACATTTCTAGAAATCTGGAGAGAGAATATGGTGAAACTAAGGGCAGTTTCAGATGAAGGTTATGCTCAATTAATGGAAAAGGATGGTAAGTTTTGGTCTAGAGCATTTTTTCAAAGTCATTCAAAGTGTGATTCTGTAGACAATAACATGTCAGAAACATTTAACTCATGGATTCTTAAACCACGATGTAAAGCACCAATTAGCATGATTAGGGAGATCATAGAGATGTGCACTGAACGACGTAGGGATAAAAAGTTCAGTGCATCTAGATGGCCTACTGATGTTTCCCCTAGAGCTCGAGATAGGCTTAAACTTCATATGGATCTTTCCCATGCATGTGGTGTGTTATGGCCTGGAGAAACTGATTTTCAGATTTATGATGGGCTGCAGTCATTCACTCATGTAGTTAATTTTCAAGAAAGAACATGCACATGTAGAGTTTGGCAAAGCACTGGTGTTCCTTGCCCACATGCCTTGCGTGCCATTAATTATCAAGAGTGGAATCCGGATGACTTTATTGATGTTAGTTTAAAGAGGGAAAAGTACCTGGCAGCTTATGGCCAGCCATTAGAATGCAGTAGAGGTGAGGAAGTGTGGAGGCAGTTTGATGGAGAAAAGTTGCTCCCACCTATTATAAAGAGCATACCCGGTAGGCCAAAAAAGAATAGGAGAAAGGCAAGGTTTGAGCCTAAGAAGATTAAAAAGGGAAAGAAGAACATAATTTCAAAGAAGGGAACAATTGTGATACATTGCAAGATTTGTGGGGGAGAAGGCCATAATATGAAAGGATGTCCAGTGAGGAATAAAGAAGAATATGCACAATTTGTTAAGGAAAGTCAAGGGACAAGTAGTACAATGTCTAGCTTTACCAATGCTAAGAAGGTATGTAATACCAATGCTAAGGGAAAAAATGCAAATTCTAGTTTCTTATTTATTCTGGTTCTGATTGGTATTAAATTGATGTGGTTGGTAAAATTGCAATTGTTTTATTTTTACAGGCAAAGAGAAAGAGAGGAAATTCTGAAACAGAACAGAGGGCAAAGAATCAGTGTTAATTGGCACCATAAAAGGATGATTTTGGAGAAGATATGAAGTTATATTTTGTTAGGAAAAAATGATTATATTACATTCATATATTTTGCCTTTTATTAAGAAAGGATGATGATGTTTTGTCATAGCCATATAATAGGCATTTTGTGACAGTAGGTAGTATTTTCTGGTATATTTTCCTGTGTAGGTAATATTTTATGGTATATTTTCCTGTGTATAGGTAATATTTTCTGTTATATTTTCCTGGTATATTTTCTTGTGGAGGTAATATTTTCTGGTATATTTTCTTGTGGAGGTAATATTTTCTGGTATATTTTCCTGTGTAGGTAATATTTTCTGTTATATTTTCCTGTGTAAGTAATATTTTTTGATATATTTTTCTGGTATATTTTCTTGTGGAGGTAATATTTTCTGGTATATTTTCCTGTGTAGGTAACATTTTTTGGTATATTTTTTTGGTTTCAATTTAGATTTGTTATTTATGAGATACATAAACAAGCAAAGAAATTATCTTTGTTATTAAGATAGCTTTCTGTGCTAATCTTTGATCCACAGTGTTTTATCCTTAAGCTTTTTATGCATGAAGAATTCAGATTCACAAGTTTCTATTCATTTTTAAAGCTTTAAAGTTGTTTGGGAGAACATTAGGATTTACAGAGCTGGTTCTCTCTGGAAATTCGATGAAGCATATAACTTGTATGTTCACTAGTATTCAATTTGTCTGTAAAGACATGTTGCCTTTCTGGTATTTACTGGTATAGTTTACTGGTTTAATTTACAGTACACAATTTCCTATGACAGATACAATTTCCTGGTATAATGTTCACTGTTATTATTTCCATACTCATCAAAAGCAACAGGATATAAACAAAAGTATACTTCCATTGCTAATTTGCAAAATTACAATATGTTCTCATTCTATGGCAGGCAAATTTAACCCTTGATTTCTAATTACAAATTTTATCATGGCAAATAATATTGGCAGTACACAAGATACAACAATTACAAATAGTTTGCCAAAAGCTTTCTTGTTGTCAACCTTTGTCATTAGGGCATCTATTTTCTTGTCCAAACTGTCAATTGCCTCCAAATGCTTATCCGTATCCAACATTTTCTGCTTCATGCCTCCAAACTTATCCCCAAAAAACTTAAACATACTCACCATTTTCTCATCCATGCTACCAAAATTATTCTGCATATCCTTCTCCAGACTCTCTATTTTTCCCCCCATAACAAGCATTTTGTTCATCGAACTAACAAACTCATCTTCCAACCATAGCTAGTAACTTCTTCTCCAAACTATGAATTTGATCCTGCAAGCACAACACTATACTCTTCAACTCTAATGCAATAATCGCAGATTTTGGAATACAGGGTCATACCAAATAAAGGAGTCACAACTGTTCTACAAAATTAATTCAATCATTTATACTTTGGGCAACCAACTGTTCTGTAAATGCAACCAACTGTTCTGTAAATACAACCAACAATCTAAATCAAATTAAAATTAAAGTTAACAACAGTGATTATCAAAGTTAAAACAACAGTGATTACCTTCTCCTTATACTTTGGGCAACCAAAAAATCTTCTTCCGGCATTAGCTTCCGTCCAGCAAGTCCACCGTGGAGCAAAATGCCCACACTTGCAAGTTCGTGGACGACCTTCATACTCCCACTCAATATTGCATCTATTCTCAAAATATGGCAATTTCACTAGCGATTCAGAGCTCTTCACTGGCGATTCAGAGCTCGACGAAGAAGCCATGCTCGCTGATGAAAGGACAACGAGGGGAAGAAGATGATAGAAGCTGGAAAATGAAATAAAACCCTAAATATCCTCAAAATATGGTAATTTCACAAAAGATTTAGAGTTTGACAAAAGACCCATGCTCAATGAATTGCAAATCTTGCTGAAAAAGGTTCAATTTTTAAAACACGAAGAGGGGAAGAAGATGATAGAAGCTGCCAAACAAAATAAAAGCCTAGATATCCTCAAAATATG